TCATTTTGGAGAACGTTTAGTTTTTTAAAATTCAATATAAACTTATTTTTCGAATTCATGCTGCAAATAAGGCCATATTTCGATTCCGAATGAATCATCGTCAGTGCTCCTTGTTGTGTATATAGGGAAATTTAAAGTTAATTTTTACAACGTCAAAAAACTTTAGTGAGAAAAATCGAAAAAACGAACTACAAACATATTAACGCCAAACATTCGGTAGAATTTATAGAATATTGTATATATATATATATATATATATATATATATATTTTCTAATTAAATCAGCGAAACATTGATTAAAATTATTAAAATGTAACTCTCCACCGGTCGTTATCAAAAATCACCATATTTAAAGATTTTGGTTCTTCAAACATTTCCAATTTGTGAATATCGAAATCGGAATTTGCTGTTGATAAACTAGCATATAAGTTTTGACAGTTCTTTCGTAATTCTTCACTAGATAGATCTCTAGTTTTTTAAATTCGTACATAAATCCAAATTTATCATTGAAATTTTCATATAATTTGAATCTTTCTTTAAATGATTCTTTATCCATATCAACAATTAATAAGAAGTATTCCACTCAAAGGTTTTCTTCTTCGTTTTCCAGGATTTAGTCTGTACTCTCATAGTCAAAGACTTATTTACTTTTCTTGTACACCATTGATTAAACTGAGTTGGAATATCATTTTCTTCCACAATTTGTTTAAATTTTTGGGCACTTTTTTTGTAACCATTCGTTTAAAAAACGGTTAGTTTTTGAAGAAGCCAGTCAAGCAATGTAATAGCGAAACACTAATACCAATTCCTGGATTTGAAAAATAACCCCTTTAATATTTTTCACTCTGCATTTCCACCTTTTCTCCGATAGTGGTTTTGTAGTAATGGACAAATATTTTCTGGCTATATTTGAAAAAAAAGTTAATAAAAATATTTAAACACATTTATCTGACATTTTTATTCAACTTGCTACGAAATCACTAGTAAAACTAGTACTTGGCATTGATTTTGATTGTGAGTCTTCTGTTTTTAAAAATTTGTGCAAAGCTCCTTTTTGTGTTTTTATATGCTTATCACGACATTTTCATTTCTGTTCTTTTTCGGCATCGCCCATGTATTTTCTACCAATATCTTGGTTCTTGGCGTCATTTCCTTAATAAATAATGAATATAATTATTTAAATTTATGCAATATTTAACAAGACTAAAATTAAGAAACTTACCAGTTCCAGCGAATAAAATGGAATTAATTTGAACCATTACACAGACGCAATACAAAAAAATTCAAGTATCAAATTGTCATGAAATTACTATTTTCCTATGTTGACAAATTTTAATAAGTTTAGTTAATTATTTTTTTGCAGGAGTCGAATATTTTATGGCAGAAAACTATTTGGAGACTATGATTTAAAAGTTGAACAGGTTGTAATGTTAATCTTGTTTTATAATATTAGCTAAAAGTCACCTAATAAAACCAATCAGCAGTGATGGTTTCAAAAATGCACTTGAACCAAAATTAAATGATTTACATTAGAAGTGTTCTGCAGCTAAATTTTATTGAAAATCTTTTTAATATATTTTATAAAAACGCATACAAATATGGCAGACAAAAAAATTGAAGTTTGATGAGAAAGTGATCTTTTCGATATAATTTAAAAGGCGTTTTTGATGATATTGAAAGTTATTTTTAAACGAAGAACTGCTAACAATTATATTTGAACAATGAACCAAACCATGCAGTTTAAAATCTTTTTGGATTAATCGTGATTCAAACCCACATAGTAAATAACTTAAATTTAAATGAATTTGATTCAAATTTGAATTGCATTTTTAACGGCCAACCGGTTATAAAAACGATTCAGTTGGACAAAATTTTTGACTAGTTGGAGTTACTGCCTTTTCTGTCTGTTTAAATTTAAATGTTCCATCAAATGCTTTAAGGCCATCAACGTCAGAAGGAGAAGATTTATTTATTCGTGAACAAATATATTTCATCTAGAACGAAAGTCTATTCAGAATTCAGGCTTTTAAAGTGACGACTATACTTCGAATGTGGTTTCTTAAGTTAGATTGAGGTGCTGACATTAAATTTCACAAACCGTTATAAAGTTTCTAGAATTTCTTTTCTAACCCACAAGGGAAGGACAATTGCAATTCATTATCAAGACATTAAAACATTTGAAATTGTTGACGTTTAATAATATCGAGGTTTCATTTTAGTAAAAGGATTTATAAAAACGCTCAAATACCGGCAGAAAAAGAAGTATGCAATACCGGCAAAATACCGATTATTCAACTGATTATTCGACAGAGATAAAATATTGGATAAAAACATACAAAAGCTTTCATGGAAAAATAATTTACGGGAAAAATGATGGTACTCTAAATATTTAGCTCAGTTTTGCCAAAATTTGTAACTTTTCTCAAAATAGGGGTTTTTGGGTCACAACAATTAGTTTATGTTTGCCTACATTCCTCAAAAAGTTTTACATTTTCATGTCACTAAAAAATGAATATTTTTAAAATTCCTTAGTTTCTGTTAACTTATAATAAATTTTTAATCGAAGGCCCAATTCAGCGAAATCAACCTGTCGACATGCAGTTCAATGGGTACGACAGTCGAAATAAGAAAGAGTCGACCAGACCATCATACACGGTCGTTAACACAGCTAAACTTTTCCCTGCAACTAAAAACCCTCATGAATTAATATATTTATACTCATTTATAATTCTTTATAATTTTCAGAGCATTCCAACCAGATTTCGTGCTAATACGACAACATGTTAAGAATATTTCAAACGATTACACGAATATTGTCTTGGGCTTGCGCAACGGTGGAGTGGCGTCCGTCAATTCGCTCGATTCTATATTTAACTTTTTAGACAAACCCTGGGTGGTTAGTATATTTTAAAATTCACTATTCTTTTTAACCAACCACTGCTTTGAATCGCGTAACTCTGTAATTTATTATTTCTAATTACTTGATTGAACCCAATGTCAAAATATGTGCTGGTAAATTATTTTATTTGATAAAATAATTTACAGACGTCTACTTCATATATGATTTTGCGAATAGATTTTAAATAAATTTTGAATATTATTTGGTAGGTGTTACAAATTTGAAGTTAATTTTTAAATGAGAGATCCATATATTTCATTTAAAGATGTTTTTAATAAAGATTTTAAATAGTTAAGTCTTAAGTCTAGATTAAAATTACTGTTTTTGAAAATGTGGACATTGACACATTTCTTTTATGGATTTGTAAGATTTTATTAATTTTTAATTTCATCCCATCTTTTTAATTTGAATTTCTTAGCAAATGTTTAAAAACCATGTTAATAAATGAAAACTTCCCAGTTTGCCCATTTGATTCGGATTCAAAGAAAAATCGGAAAAAACAAGTTTCCTCTCATAAGTCAAAGCTATTATCCTAATTTTAAAGAGATGGTGAGTTGAAGTTGAAAGCATGGCGTAGAAAAGTTTGTTGTAAACTGTTAAATATACATCTCATAAGTTTTTTTAATTTTAATTTAATGACCATACATTTTTAACGTTTAAACATTATTTAATCTTATCTTACACGCAATCTTTTATAAATGCACGAGCATATTTGCTAGCTGACTCGGCGTCTGAATGACGAAGTTTAAAATTTATCAATTAATCACGTTTAAAACTTTTTTTTGAGATATTTATCGCTTTTTTTCTAAAATGACAAAAATTAACAAAAATGAAATCGAAATAAGTGCATGTATAAAATTTAAATGCATATGAAAGAAAAACTAACTATAATTGGATAAAAATAACTTGAACCAGTTGCAATTCGAAAAAATGCTTACAAAATTTTCAAAGTCACATTTTACAATTTAATTTAAATAACTGTTTCCCTAGATATTAATCTAAATGATTTTTGTGATATTAAAGCATTATTACAATATTGTAAACATTTTCAAACAGTTTTCAAATTGTTACATTAAAATGTGGTAAGCACTATCAAAAATAAAATGACAATAAAAAGTAACGAATTCGCAAATACTTCGCGAATGAATGAATATAAATGAAGATGAACTAATTGGTTCGCTCATTTTTTCATGGCTCTATAACGAAAATTTTAATGTTTTCGGTCTGATATAAAAGTTATTTCTAGAGAAATAATCACCAACATCTAAATTATAGTCAACATTTAACATCGTTATTATTTTTAAACAATTTCCCACGTAAAAATAGTTAGTAACTCCACATTTCCCTGTTGTCGTGAAAATGGGTCATGGACATTCTGGATTGGGTAAGGTTAGACAAAATTTGTTCCATTGTAAATGATTACAGCTTTGTGTTTGTATGTATTATTATTTCAACTTTTATGGAAAAAAGCGCAGACTTTTTTTATTGTATTTACTTGATTCAAAAATCTTTTTTCAGACATCGAAAAAAATAACAAAATTTAAGCGTGATTTGAAGCTTTTATTTTTTTAATTAGATATCGGCATTTTGTGAGATGAACTCGAAATTGATCCAGGCCCCAACACTACGCGGTATCAGTCACAAATGTCCTCTATGAAAGCCAACTCAAACAGGCAACGCCATGAACTAGCAATCTCTTAGCCTATCACTGATCCGTTTTTTTATTTACTTATATTACTCTCTTTCTACAAACACGCAGATACATCGTATAAATGTTAAACAAAAGAAGTTTTTGCTGACCGAGAATATGCTACTCGAATGCGTACAGGTTCCTCGTTACAAACCTCTTTTTTGTTGAGTTTATCAAAGTTGGCTGTGGAAGCATTTTGACAAAACGATTTTATTCATGGGCGTAAAAAGCGGAGTAGTCGTAAAAGATTTTTTGTTCTTCATCTAGTTATTTTGATGAATCTGTAGAAAACTTCAGCGATATTTTGTAATGTTTTTACCACGTGTTAAATATTGATAGATGAAAAGGACAACATTCATTTAGGCCCAACAAAAATTGCGTCGGTTACGAAGGTTACAAATCAACAAGAATATTTGATTGCTCTCTATTTCTGTAATAATGATGATGTCGACCAAAAAATTAAACTTGAAAATTTTTGTTGACTAGGTGAAAGTAGACCACCACTACGGATTTCAGGACATCGCCAGTGTGGCGGCCATGACGAACAGCTACTCAACCACGGAGCTCTTGATAGATTCGCAGTGTGATATCTTTGTCCAAAAAATTGGAACCAATATACGAGCTTTCAAGTAATGCTTTTTGTACTAACAATTAAAACTATATATAAATTGTGGTTTCATGATTTTTTGTGACTATTATTATTACCTACAAAATGTAAACTTTATAAAAAATATTTTCCTAAAATTATCTTTGTTAACGGCACTGATTCTTTTTTAAATTATGAGTTGTTTTTAACTTGAGAGCATTAAAGATATATTCCTTCCTCTTCTTTATTTCATGTCTTATAAAAGGAAGCTGTTTGTTATCAGTTTAAATGCTGCAATTTCTGTTCTTCAATTACTAAAATTAAAAAAATAAATATATATTGTTTACTTTAATATGAACTGTTAGAAAAGCAGACCGACCCAAGGAATGTATTTTATCAATTTGTTCTATCTTCACTGTATTTATATATTATTAATTGAAAACCTATTGTTTCGAATATTTTCAGAAGAAAATGCATGTCTGGAAACTGGAAAGCCAGCATGGGAGCTGTCATTTTAGAACCAATGCCTATGAATGAAAGGTTGAAGTTCTTACCTTTGGTCTGCTGTGTGTTGTACGAACAGTTGGATAAACAAACTATATAAATAACATCAATCAATCAATCAATCAATCAATCAATCAATCAATCAATCAATCAATCAATCAGTTTATTTGTAGAGAGCTATTTCCGTAACGTTCAACAGCGCTCAAACGCCGTGCCGAGGCTCGCCCTATTTTCCGCATCACATACTCGACCTACATGATAAACTTTGGAATGTGGTATAGCATGCATTCGAACCTTTAGTCCACGCTCGTAGCCACTACACCATACCTGCAGCTCAAATCAAATTGATCGTGCTTGCATTCACATAAGTGAAATAGTGATTGTATTGCTTTGAACAATGGATTGAGTAATACTTGCATTGTATTCAAGGATTTTCAGTTGATAATAGTAGTTCAAGAATCCTTTTATTTAGTAAGGGTTAAGTTCAGAGATATATTAGAGAGTTATGTAAATATCTCTATGCCACGCATTTTATTAAACACACCCACTTCTTTTAATATGCTACTAGAATTTTAAATTGCATTGTTAGTCTGAGAAGACTAATTCATTAATTTATTTATTCATTTATTTATTTATGAACAATCGGTTGATTTTTTCCATGTTAAAATTATAAGTAAAATGCTTTCATTTATTTCACAAAAGTTTATTAACTGCGAAATGTTTTTTTTTAATTTTTGAGAATTCAATAAATAATCAACGTAGGTACAAATCGTGGGTTGACGAGTGTTCGAAATTGTTCGGCGGATTGGACATGATGTGCATCCAAATAATGCAGGGCAAGGATGGAAAGGAATATATCGTTGAGGTTTCAAATGTTGTTCATTTCTAACTGGACAATTAGCTCATTTGAAAACTGTTTGACCACAAACCAGATGAACGATTCGACGATGAGCATATTAGGGAGCAGCCAATCAGAAGACTATAAGTTGGTTGTTGATTTAGTTATTAGCAAGATGGAACAGTCGTCCACATTTCACAAGTTTCTATCTTTTGCCTCAAATTTTTAATTTTTGTGCTACTTGTTTCTATTTATTGATGCTTATTCTTGAGTGTTTTTGAGTTTTTGGAGACTGTTTGAAAACGTAAGTTTTACTGCTGATATTGCCTGTTATAATTATTTGTTTAAATTCGTATTTGTTCAAAAAATTCAGTGAGATGGAATCGGCTTATCCCGCACAGTTAAATCAAAACGTTGCGTACAAGCCATATCCTCAGAATCAGAATTTGCAACAAGCGAAATATGGATTACAACAAAACCAGGGAGAATCTTTCACAAAAGATGAAATTGTAGATGATACCATGAAGAATTTGAAAAAAACTTTTGCGGGTATATTTGGCAACATGTAGATCAAACATTTGCAGTCAAGCCACATCAGTCGATTTTATTTTGTGTAAAAACGTAATTATTCGTAAATTGTAGCTAGTGAAGGCTGTTAGTAATGTTCAATTTTTAATGTTAGATCTTAGACTTGTATTTAATGCTGTTTTCTTGAAATCAAATTTACCGTTCATTTTTTAAAATGTTATTTTAGCTTAGAAAATGTTAAATAAATTTATTTCTGAATTTCGTAATATGTAATTTTGTATTGTATTTGTTATAATATAAACTTGAATATAGATATACTAAACATGGAAGCTGTACAATTCTTCAGACAATCAAAAAGTGACAAAAATATTTGACTACTTGTTCTTTGATATATGTCCCAAAATCAAATATCATTAATCCACGTTATCACCTTTATTTCGTCCTGTTATAACAGAGCGCAGTATCTGAATTTTGATTTTACAGTTTTGAGCGAAACAGTTTTGCTGACTTTTATAACTTAGTCATCATTCCCTCTGCTTAAAACCAATACGAATCATTATAGTTGAGCAAATTATAAAAACATTCAATCGGTAATAGCTCAAATATTCTTATTTTTGCTACATCGTCATGCGGTCTTAACTACTCAAAAAAAGTAGTTAACTACTATAATTAACTCCCTAGTTTAAAAAATAGTTAATAAATATTTTTAACTATTTTTATTTGCTGTAGTTATTAACTCTTTAACCGCTTGCCTAGTGATTAGTTAATTACTTGTTAACTACTTTTAAACAGTTTCATTCACCAGATTCATTTGCGAAATGTTTTTTAAGAGCAAATAAACAGTTATTCCCAGTTTTATTCAGAAATATAATATATTCTAAAATCTATAATGTCCTTCTAAGTCTTGATCCCTAAGATAGGCTTATCGACGTGTTTGATATTTATTAAAGGTGCCGACATTGGTTGTTGTTTTTTTTAGCTGATGAAGTTTTTTTTAGCTAATGCGTTCGTAACATTTGATTAATTGTAAAGTTCTGTGGGTCTTGCATGATCGACGGTGCATCTTGAGACCTTTTCTTCCAGCAAGCGATATGATTGTTGTTAGAGTTGTTGTAAGGTGGTGATAGCGATGAAGTTGATGAAGGCATTAAAGTCGACTGTGACTCAGTTGAAGTAGGGCTTGCGACAAAGTTGGTGGTTATGTTTTGATTTGGGTAGGTGACATAGAGACGTTGGTGATGATGGTGGCGTCATTTTGATGTTACCTTTCAAAGGGCTGTGTGTGACGGTGATGTTCTTGCAGATATTGTAATTGACGTTGTTGTTGTCGATTCTTTTTTGGATTTATTTTTTGTAATAATAATAATAATCTATGATTACATTTAATTAAATAAAGTATGGAATGGATAATATTATTAGAAACAATAAATGAACGTGTTTGAACATCATACTCCATTTGAAGAGTAATTAATTCTTTTTCACAGAATCTGTTCATACGTTTCACTGAACATTAATTGAAGGTGTAATGAATCATTTCTCAAATGAAGAAAAACTAATCATCATATGCATTAATTCATTATGCGCTTATACGAAATTGGACTGCATTGCAGATATAATTAAAAAAGCTTTTTGTAGCATATACGATTAAATTATTTTATTTATTAAATTTTTATTTACGAAATAACCAAAATAAAATTTAAACATACGGCCAAGATCAGATCTCAAACGAAAGTGTGAGCTTATTAAGGAAAGTTGAAAAACTGTTGAACATACATAAAACGTGAACAAAAACCAAATTTTATTTTCATTAGCTATTTTTGAGATGACATAGATAGTTGAAATGTCGTTACGTTGTCCTCGAGACATGGATCAAAAATAACGGCTATCAAATGGTTTTAGGTAAAATGTATAAGTTTGCTTTCCAATAACCTGATTTATTAATCTAAAATAGAAAATCCAAATGAGTGAATAAAGAAAATAAATAAAATCAATTGAAACAATATGAAATATTACAGAAATTATAAATGAATAACCAACCTAAAATAGAAAAATTAAATTACAGGATCGTTTACAAAGCCAACAATAATAAAATATTACCGCGTGCAATAATAAAATATGACCACGTGCTATTTGCATTTATATATAAGATGATACCAAAGTAATGAAACCTAATTTACAAGCACAGAATAGAAATAGATAGATAATTATATGAAATATAATTTACATCTCTCTCCCTCAAGTCACTTTTTGAGGTACATAAAGTGAAAATTTATTAATGTGAAAAAAATGTGATTCCTTCTTCTTCTTTCCGCAGTCTACTTCGAAGATCGACGGTGAAATCTTGCTAAGAATTTTAAACGGACCAACTCTTATTCTGTCCATTTTACCTCTATTAAGTTTACTCCCATTCTGGATATAGACTTGATTGCCCACTTCAAATTTGTACTCTTGACGATTTTTGTCAACTCTTTGCTTGTTTATTTCAAAATTTTGCATAGAATTTCGACCGGCTTGTATTCTATCTGCAGCTAAATCGCTTTCCGGTACGTCATATGGAGTGATAGTTGACTTTATGCCGTATAATAAGTATTCAGGTTCAAATTTCGTGGAACTATGAATTGTCCGATTGTATTCTTTGACACATTCGTCTGCAACAACGGACCATGCCTGTTTTTTCCACTGTTAAGTTTACATCTTATTCTGTTTACAAGTGTTTGGTTTAGTCTTTCATTTAGTCCATTTGATTGAGGGCAATCTACGCA